TATTGTATGCCATTGCGCGCCTTATCCTCGACGAAGTTTTTTTGGGTCCTCTGAGGCAAAACGCGTAGGCATCAGATTATAGACAAAATCTGGGCGTTCAGTTCGTGTGGCGGGTCAACAATATCACAGTGGCTTAAGTTAATGATCGACAGTCTTGTCAATGTTATCTGCAAGCTCGATATCACATGCAAACGAGAAGATATAAGGGACAAGATGGAATGAATAGGCTATTGTGTACAGAAGAAGTGGAGAATGAGTGCCAGAATCTGAAGAAATAACTCGGAAAAAGGAGAAGATGTAATCCCGATTGTACAGGCATTAAGGCTCCCGTGGCCGAAGACAAACTCAAATTTGTCCACATGCTTCCACCCGCGCCGCGAGGCGGTGATGAGGCAGCGGCAGAAAGCATTAACAGGCCATCCACGCCATTTCGAGACGATGGCACCTTGCGTCGTCATGCCATCTAAAATAACGCCTAACAAGGACGACGGGGAGGTATGACCCCCTTCACCGATTTTCTCTTTCTGGTCCCTATCTGTTACTAAAATTCGACCCCTTTGGTCTTTTAACGCCTCTCCTCCCACCCCCTAATTACTACTGCTTGGTGGCTTAAACGTTTTCTTAAACTCTACCCTCTGTTATACTATCATATTTGCCTGATGATGAATTAATTGAAAACGTGAATTTGTCGAAGTTGACCTCCGGCATTTGCTGAAAGTTTTGATTTTCGACGTTGCTTATGTGTGAGAATCAGAAAATGTGAACAGTAAACAGATGGAGACTACAGAAGGTAGAATCTTCGTGATTATAGAGCTAGAATCAACCGCAGATCTGGCTCAATTGAGTTCCGAAATCATTGTCCTTGGCCATAGATTGTTTGTAAATTCAACAATGGAGAAACCAGGATAATAAATATCCACATGGTACAGTTGACGTGCAGTGAATACTAGGAAGCCTAAAATAACACGAACTCCAATGTCCAATCTTAATCTCCTTGGAATTTAATGCTAGATAACATATATAACCGATGTATTGCAGTAGGTTTAGTTCGTAGGTAAAACCCTTGCCACTGCGAGGTTGAGGCGCAGTTTCGTATAGGAATAGAGAAAGAAAGACATCAAGCGAAAGGAATATTGCAATCCGTAGAGAGGAATCGGAAAATAGATAGTCGGAACGGGGGCAAAATCACTCGAAAGAGGACCGCGTCTTCAGCAGGGTCCTTTTCGAGTCAACTTCAGAGAGGTGATCGGCCAAACCGGATTGGGCAAAAGAGACATTGGTGTGTGCGCACTTGCTTCCCACCGTGATATATTGAGCGTTTGCACATTTTTCAGAACCTGTGATTGGCTCTTCTATAAATTACAGAGAAATTCAATCACGTGACCTCATGTATGATATGATGAGGGAGGTCGAAACATCACATTTCCCCAAAATCATTTATATTCCCTTGATGTGACGTTCAACGGAAAGGAAGTGGGACCCTGTAACCCTGCTTCTTGCGAGCAGGGTCGTTGCAACTGCCTTCACCGGTCTGGTTAGGCGAAATGGTTTTCCCGTTTTGCTATCGCTTTAGCCGAACTTATCAGGGCGGATCGCAGCCACTAAGACCTTCAGGCATAGTCCGAATAAGAATTGGTAGGATACTACAATCACTGCAGAGCTCCTGGAGAAGAGATAGAAAACATATTGGTTACTGCATTAGAGAACTTTCGCAAACGCGAACGTGGCGTCCACAGTGTGATCTCACGTAAGTCTTAACAGCGCCTCCAACGAGGTCATCCGTGAATCAGAAGTGAAGATGGTTGGCCGGTTAGGACAGCCTGTATTGGCTGCCACCGGTGTGCATGTGAAAGCAGCCGCGGCGTTTAAGTGTTGCACCATGCGCCGCACGGATTGGCAATGAAAAAGTGACCCGTCTTCGAAGGGGACCAACGGGCAAGGACAGGTGAGACGGGTTGGTCCTTTCTGAATTATGAGTGATCGTCAGCCAGTTTTACCGAGCAGCAGACTTAAATAACCCCTACTGCAGAGAGTGACATGACATGCGGTCATTGCATGCGTGACTTTCAGAACTCCTGACTTCAGTTCTGTTTTAAGGGATCTCCACTGAATTCCCAACCAATCTTTTAAATTCGGCGAGGGTCTATTGCTATACCGTATTCCCAACCCGCAGCTTTTAAACGATGAAAAGGATATAAAGTATCGCAAGCCTTACATGATCTGTTGATGTTTCGGATTTTACGTGGCTGGTGATTACGCATACTGAACCCCATCCCCTCTTCCAGAACCGCCGGCGGTAAAAGCGGAATGCTACGCCTAACGCTAAAGAATAGTCCTAACTAATTTCTTATATTTAAAAGTAGGTGTGGTTAAATTCGTTTCTTTTTTATGGCATTGAATTGGTTCAGGTTGCCGCTCATCAAACCTCCTGCGAATTCCGAAGTCACTGAGGCTGTTGCGACAAGATAATTTGGCTTCAGATAAGAAAAACACCAGCTGTACCGTGCGCCCTGTGCATTTTCGGCAAGTTAATGTTTTGGACAAACAGCTCATAGCATCTTCTCGCAAACTCGAGAATACAACTTCTGCCAGAAGGGTTGTACACACACTCCTTTGGCGCAGCAGCGTTTCAGAGGTCCAATGGGGACCAAAACATCATACGCTTCCTCGTGATATTAATTCATTTTTACGCCTAACCCAAAATAATAGTTATAAATGTTTACTCATATTGTAAAAGAACGATTGTTTAATCTCAGTTTGAGCCGCGTCGGCCAATGCCGAGACATTACCCTACATATCCTGCATTCCCGGAACTTCCGAAAATAATTCAGGCCATTGCGACAATGAAGTCAAGGTCGACTGAGAAAATATCCGTTTTTTTGTTCGGGCGAAGTGTGGGGGGATTAAAGAAAAGGATCATTGACCGTATTTCATTCCAGCCTGCCTAGTTACTGATTACAAGGATTTCGGACAAGTATCTGACAGAAACTCCTTGCAAAATCGATAGTAAGACGTCTGAAAGTTGGCCAAAAGAGGAAGTACATCATAAAGTCTGTGGTGGAGGTAAGGCATGCACACACAGCAGACGTGATCCAAGCCATCGTCCGAGGCCGGTCCAACCTACAGTCCTCCTCGCCCATAATGTTTATCAGGCATTGGATCACATACCATACGCCGGGTATACTTAGAACGACATAGCAGAACATAAAAGCCAACAATAGTCGGTTGATTTGCAAGCAGGAGAGCCGAATGTGCGTCATGGTGCCTGGCATTGGTGGTTGACAGTGCCGATACAGGTCAATCAGCCCCCAAATCCGCACAAGAATTTGCTGACTGAAGAAGATGAGCAGGCATAGGGGAAGAATAACGATCACCACAAAACGCCCTAGCACATGCACTTTTTGAAAGAGCACAAGACGACTGTCACCGCGGTTGCATTGTAGCAAAACATAGTCAAGAAATTCAGGCAAATTAAACACCAGCACAGCGATGAGAATGTATGCACCTCGGTAGGCGGGCCGACAATGGGCAAAGTTGTCGGTCGCCATTCTTGTTCCCGAAGGTCGACATGTGAGACGGTAGCGTTGGAAACCGATCCACACCGCGATCCAGTTTCGCAGCGTAGTCAGCACACTCCTGCCCATCCGCATTACGCCCAAGTAGACGGCGCGACAAGCTTTGCAGTCGTCTAGCAGAGACAAGCGCAACGTGCAGACCAGAGTCATGAACCAGATAAGAAATAAGAAGTCCAGGAAAGAGTGCCATTTGAGAGCGGTTCTTATGTCTGGATGTCTGAAGTCCTTCTTTCGACAGTGAAGAAGCAGACAGCAGAAGGCACTGCTGGCGATGCCCGTCAGGATGACAAGTGTCAGAATTCCCAGACTGGTGCCGGTCTGCGAGCGAACGTCGAGATCAGTGCAGGTGAGAACGCAGTCGTTGAATGCAGGGACGTGATGAAGCATATTAGTGCATTTATTTGGCTGGAATTCTCCACGTTG